GAGGGAAATGGGGAGAGACATAGAGGTCTACTATTAAGTTGCGTTGTAAAGGGATGATCAACCAGCCCTAAATAATACGCGATATCCTTAGCAACACCAACGTACAAAAAGGGGTTCGATCATGTCAGCATACTCACCTAATGAAGTAACTCTTTTCAAAGCACGGTATGCATCCATATGCCAGGCTGACATGTTCATGAAGTGGGCCTTTCCGAACCTCCATGTTTGCATTGACCGCTTACATGCTGGGCCTATTATGAGACGGCGCTGATCTTGTGTTTTGGGCCAAGATATGGTCTCCCTCACGCAATCACGCCGGGACCGACGACAGTTGTTGCAAATTGGACGATCGCGATCACATTTGATTCTTCTGCCTATTGGAGCAGGACATATGAGCGTTAGCCACTAGACACATTGGATTATGCAGTTCCTACTACTGCCTCACCTTTACATGTCCGGCATCCTTTCCTTTGGCTAAGGGTTGCCATCCTTTCGAATACAGTCTTCGTGGCAGATGAAGGTTGAGCAAGGTCCCCACGGTTGTGAACAAGGCAAAATATTGCGAGGTGAAACTTGACTAAAGTCATTATTGTAGCCAACCACTAGCTCGTCAAATGAAGGGATGACAAAGCTAGGCGGCCCCACCCATCCATAGAAGGCAAAAATGGGCGAGGTTCTCGAATCCTGAGGAAGTGAAACACCAATCAAAGTCAATCCTCCAATAGCGCTCGGACCCCACTCAGACGAGCTCTAATCAGATACTCGAATTGCTATCCTATCACGCCAAGATAGGCCATCAATATCTGGCAATGCCAATCTCATGTATGATATAAAACTTGGTCGGAGTCATAAACTCCCGGCGGATCAATTTCGGAGAGAATTGATGGCAGGCGATGCGGCTAGGCTACGGCTAGGTCGTATTTGTGACGTTCTTTCGCGAATAAGCCGAGTAGTGCCCCAAGTATATATACGTAGCACGGAATTGATAATTCACTCAAGAAGATTCGCCTATCCTAAGAGGATTAGTAAAAAAGATTCAATCATCAAATTTCACGTATCAAGATATTTGCACAGACTATATAACATGCCATCCTACGCGATAACAGGTGCATCCCGAGGTATTGGGGTATGTCGGCCACTCATCTGCACCATCGAGTGTTATACTGGTGACTAAGGTGATCTATTGCAGTATGAATGTCTTAAACAACTCTCCGAAGACTCATCCAACGTCGTCTTTGGCATTGTCAGAAGCCCCGAGTCTGTTCAGGAGAAAATAGGAAAGGAATTGCCGGGAAGGAAGAACGTCCACATCATCCATGGTGATCTATCCGATATGGCCTCTTTAGAAGTAAGCCAAAAAATCGATGTAATCACACAACGAATTTCAGTCTAATATGGATCATCAAAAGTCAGCGGCGAAGTATGTTTCGGCAACTACAGGCGGTAAACTCGATGTGTTGATAGCCAACGCGACCGCTGGTACCGTTAACTTCACTGCTGTTGATGATGAGTAGGGCCATCTTGCAAGTTTTTAAGTCATATATAACTAATAACTGGAAGATTTACAGAAGACCCTTTGAAATTCGACGAGGAAATGCTATATCATTTCAAGGTTAACGTCATTGGGAACATCCACCTGATGCACGTATTTACTCCATTGATTAAATCCGGAGACATTAAGAAAGTCGTTATCCTATCTTCGGGCTTCGGAGATACTGAATTGACTGTGGAGGCTGGTATCAAGATGCAAACGCCATATTCTGTATCCAAGGCTGCATTGAACATGGCTGTCGCCAAGTTTCATGTTCAGTATAAAGACGAAGGCATCTTGTTCATGTTAATTTCACCTGGTTTAGTTGATACTGGTGGCTATGATGGTTTCGAAAGTCAGCTTTCCATTTATCCCAAGGTTACTCTGATGAATGCATGAGCTAATAAAATGCTAGAAACGCCAGAATTCTTCAAGAATGTGGGAGAAATGGCCGCTGCTGCTAAAAGATACAATCCAGATTGGAAAGGATATCTCGCGCCTGCAGAGTCTGCCAGAATGGTTTTGGGAGTAACCGATAACGCTACAATTGAGAAGAATGGAGGAAGGATGATCTCTCACTTGGGTACTCTTCGGTGGATATGATCGCCCTAAAGCAGTATTCTGAGTCTCCCACACCAAGGACATCATCAAGCTCTAGAGTTGGCACGTCTAGAGTGAGGTTTAGATATTTTGCTAGGCTAAAATGCTTCTCGTCCGAGATTGTTGTCAACCCCCAGTTAGCTAACTCGGATACAGTAAAAACTGCATCGGTTGCGGTATTAGCCTGTCATAGCACAACGTTTAGGGTCTTGATCAGAGACATTAATCGAATAGCAAGACTGCCTCCCTTCCTCATGCAATTCAAACGAACCAGATGTAATAAATGGGATAGAACGGAATGATGTTTGATCTATGGCTCAAGTAACATTGCCCCTGCCTTGGGCCCCGGAGTACAAGCTACCTGAAGTAGACCACATTGCACTTGCAGCTAGATATTTTATTTGTCAAGCAGCGAATTCAAATGCGTGAATCGTATCCATGTAAAGTAATTCTCTCAATTCCTGATCACCAATATCGAAAGAAATCGTTGTTCATTTCAGTGCAACTAGTCTAAGAGAGTCTGCCAGAATTCATGGTCATTGCATCATAGTAAAGATGCCGCTGATGCTGACTCTCTGTGAAATGTCTTAGATTCCGGACATAGGCCGTCAGCACGCAAAGTGTTCATCTATCATACTAGAAGAGACAACTTCAAATACCAAAATTTTAGAGTTGGGTCTTGTGCTTCGTGAGAATCCGTCATCTTGTTTACCTCAATGTCATCGACATGGAAAGCCTGCGTAAAATCCAGTTCTGGTCGCAGGGTGCAATTAGGTAAACAAATTTCGTAATTATGGTCGTATATCAATTGCGAGCCTGAAGCCATGCAATCTGAAGGGATATCATTGAAGACCAGATTGTTCTAGTAGATTCGTTAACTCGTGGGGAAATAGAAGGTGAAGCTAACTCAAAAGAAGCGAATTCTTTCAAGGACTACAATTTGTACAACATAAATCAATTGTGAAGAAGACATTCAGAACTCTTACGAAGTACCGCTTTTTCAATAATTACTCAAACAAAAGTAAAGTGCTTCATTTCGCTTAATATGAAGAGTGGAAGCCTCGGATATCAGGAACCACTGCAGTTTTCGAGTCTCCTTTCATCGTGAAGACTGAATTAGAATTTACTATGGCTGGTCTTGTCTGGAAATCAGCTGAAACCAGGTGTAAGTTCTTAGTGCGAAACCAATAGCGCGGCTGAAACGACAGACTGGTCCAGATTTTCAGCCGCATGCATTTCCCCGCGACGAGGCATATATTAGGATATAGGTTTTCCCAGCCACCCTACTGAATTTGCACTGAGAGTTTCGACTGGTGATCCAGACCGATCTGATTCCTGAATTAAAGAGCAGATCCAACGTGAGCTTAGCGAGTGGTCTTCCGACAACATCATGCCAAGTAGCTTGCAATACAACTACCCTACAGCCGGGCACGAAGAGGGTAGTCAAACTCCTCAGCCAATGTCATATCCCCCTCGACAGAATGCTATAGGGTTCCAGCTTCACAATCATCAAGTGCAACACTACGAGGACGTCGCTCCTCCAGACCCACCATCCCAACAGACTGGTAATATTACCGATTTTGGGCCGTCGCTTTCGACGCATGCTGCGATTCAGGCCACCGCTCGCTCATTCTACAAAGTAGGAAAAGGCTTTCTGGGTGACCTTGCTAGCAATATTAACACGAAGTATCCGTCTGCCGCTTCCATACCTGCCCACCAGCAGAGCCACGACGCCGAGCAACAGTATCAGCAGCAGCCATGGCATAATCCAAACCAGCATGGCACGCACCCTGTGCATCAGACCCACAGCCCGGTTTCGCTGCATGGCTCTCACACAAATCATAAAGTTTCCTCATTTTCACCAGATCAAATCCCAGCTTCATTCCAGGCCCCGTATCTAGTACCGCCACTAGAGTATTATCCGAGTTCACTCGTTCAGCCTCCTCAGATTGGCCAGTCATCTCATCACACACTGCCCGCTCCTCAACCACCGCGAACTGCCCAAGCATCTCCATATCCACAAATATACCAACAATCGCTTCCGCAACCAAGCAGACTCCAAGCTCCATTGGGGGCCGTAGCTTCAAGATTCACTGACCAGGTTTCGCAGAACATAATTCCTATGATTGAGGTTGATGATCAGGCATCCAGCCGCCCTCGCATGCCGCTACCTGCACAATCCACGCCAGGCTTGAGCATACAGTCTATCCATCAGTCCGCTATCATCAATGATAGAGATTTCCACCTGACTTCGCCCCCGCCTGTGCCACCTGAACACACGAGGCCAGACATGACGACGTTCGGCTCGCAATATCCGCTATCCACAGCCTCGCCAACCTTCTCAACGGTCCACAACTTTCAAGTACAAGAGGCATGTGTGCCTCCGCGTCCAATTTATCCACAGCCTAGCGTTTCCCAGCTTGACAGTATTACAAATAGCCCTGTTCCCAAGCATAATTCACTCGGTTCGTTGTCAGCTCAAATGAGTGGTCTCGATGTCCGCGACAACACTGCATCGACGCCCAGTCACAGATACCTCGCAGAACACGACCGACCACGGGCGCCACCTCCTTATCAAGCCACTGGGCCAGACTGGGAAGTCCTTCCCGAGTGCACTGAAGCTAGAATTGTAACCTATTCTCTCGATTGGTACCGCTTCTTGGATGTTCCCGACTATCTGGTCTGCACGAGATGTTACACCGATCATATCGCCGGGACACGCCTTGCCTGCTGTTTTGAGAATATCAGTAGGCCAGATGGCTCCGTTTCTCGCTGTGTGTTCTGGTCTCCTCGTGTGAAGGAGGTTCTCTGGCAACGTGCCGTACAAAGCAACGACATTGGCCCGCTGGAGAAATACTTGGAAAAGGCCATGAATGTGTTGGCCTGTAAGGGTCTCGCCTATAGCACTGGTGCATATGGCGCCAAGTATTTTTCCATGACGGATCACGAGATCGACGGCTTCATCATATGTGAGGAGTGCTACGAAGACTGGGTGGTTGGAATGCCATTCGAGTCTCGCTTCTCACCGTATTCGAACCAGCAAGGCGAGGACGAAAAATGGGCATGTGACTTGGCTGTCCCGTACATCCGAACGGCGGTGCTGGAGAAATCGAAACATAACAGCTGGTCCGAGTTCGTCAAATGCTGCACCACTCGGATGTCGCTGCCCGCCTGCGAGGGTATTGAGACTCAGTCAAGCCATTGCAACTGGTACCACCCGCGACGCCAAATCGAGGGCATGCATGTCTGCGAAACATGTTACATGGACAAGCTAGCCCTCACACGATTCGCCGACGAGTTCGAGCGCCACCAGCCTAAGGAGGGATTTGAGGGCTTCATGGACGCCCTTGGGGAGAGGTGGACATGTGCGCTGTCTGACAAAGCCATCAATCTGTCGGCTGCTCTCGGAGCAGCGCTCTATCAGCGCAACTTTGACGTCTTCTGGGAAGCGGCTGACTCTATTACTAAGCTGGTCCCGTGCACCAAACACGGCATTGTGCGTGGTAAATGGTGGACTGTGGCAGGCGGCTGCCCCGACCTTAACGTATGCGAGGCGTGCTATCACGGTGTCTTGCTGCCGTCGGGCCTCGACCGCTTCTTCGAGCCGGCAGAGCGAGACCCTACTCTCGACATCGTCTGCAACTTCTGTCCCGAGAGTCAGCGTTTTGTGGAGTTCGTCGATAAATTCGCCGAAGCGCTCGACAAGGGCGTCTTCAGCTACTACGCAGATCATGTCAAGACGTGGGCGGGGGTCCCTATCTGCCCCGGCATCCGAAGCCGAAAGGAGGCACGCTGGTGGGGGTACCCAGATGCGACGTTCTGCCAGGACTGCTATCTGAGTTTCATAGCGGACACGCCGCTAGCGGACGCGGTGCCTATTCGGGGCATGTACGACGAACGCACGATGATCTGTCAGATGTGGTCGCCGCGGATGCGCAAGATGTGGCTGGCCACCTGCGAGGCGGGGCCTCCGGGATCCACAGCGTCGGAAGGTTGGCTGGCGGAGTTCCGGGCATTTGCGCGGCGTCGGCTCCAGATCTACGACGCCACGGTGCCGCGCATCGAGATGATGGAAGGCATGCGACTCATTCGCATGGAAGAGGCCATGCACCAGGGCCAGTTGAGCATCATGTATTCGGGCATGAACAGCATGGCGTCGCTAGCAGGCACCACGGACGGGTACTGGCATGGCAACAGCTCTCTTGGTTGGTATGAAACAGAGCACGGAGCCACGGCTGCTAATATGAGAAATAATATGGCGGCGGGTATGGCGGGCGCAAACAGGATGGAGGACTGGATGCAGATTGCACAGCTAAAGACTATGTGGTTAGAGGTAGAGTGATGTCTACAAAGACTAAGGCTAGCCGGCTGGGCTCTGTTCTTGCCTGAATTTACTTTCCGTGAAAGGTGATTATCAATTTATAAGTCAACGCGCTTTGAAACTGGTTCATTGAAGAGAGCTATGTGTTTCGAGTGGATCATGGCCGGTGTTCGAAGCTGCTCAAGGCTTCTACGATGACATAACGACATGCGAACGAATTTGGAGAATATCGCGCTCCAGCTTTGATTTACATATCTCGATTGCGAACGCGGATCTTTTACTTTTCAAAGCTCATGAGACGGGCAACATAGATAGGAAAGTTATTTGGGGAATAGTGACTTGAAATGAAGAACAGCTTCAGAGCTTTCACGAGTGTTTATCTAACTAAACACTTGGACGAACTACGAGCCAGAGTCAGCCAGTCCTAGGCTACGTCACCAAGAACTACAAAAGTTATCCGACCTCGAGTGAGCCATAGACACCAGGGAACTTGGCTCTACCAAATTGAAAGCTATCAAAACGCTCTTGATTTGTTGAGAAGACCCAAAACGCGCAATGTGAGTGATTAGCAACCTGGTTTCAAGTCTTTGAGTAAGTCTTCAAGGTCGCATCAATTGGCAAACAGAGGCTAATCAGAACTTGAAGCTTTTGAGCACTGAGTGAACATTACTGACGTATTATCAGTTACGAGGCTAATCCACGGGTAAATGTTGGCTTCGCGATAGGGTTCAAGGTTAGATTGGTTTTGAGATTAACAAATTCCAACAAGATCAAATCAGATGGAAATTATATTGAAGCAAACAAAGAGCTAGTGGTCACCGCTTGAGAAGTCTATCACTCCCTAGAACTAGATGGTAGAAAAATTGGCCCTAGAGCCAACACCTCTTACAGGAAAAGACTAGATCCTATAACTATAGCTATATTTAATAGGCTAGAATATCAATAGCAGAGGCTTCATAATTAGTCAAACCATTATTGTAGACAGTGAGATTATATATATTGTCTGATGTTTGATAAGATCTTTGAAAAATGAAGAATTTGATGACTATACTCTCAGTATCCAGTCCCCGTGGAACTTCCAGCCCTACTTCATCCAGAAAGTAACCCTGACTTAGATGAATGATCTGAGAAAGATCAGCGAAGAATATATTGACGTATACAGTTTATCTATCTGTGAATTCTCCATGGGGCATATAATTTTCAAGACATTTACAGGCTTATGCTAATGATGAGCATTCCAGCGCGAACACTAAGGAGCAGAGAACTCTAGTTGATTTACCACATGGCTAATTTCGATATCCTTTGCAGCGACTCCCTAGTGACGATCCACCACCCGCTAAGGACACGGTGGAGCTTCGAGCCGAAATCAAGTGATTCTATAAGGAGTTTCTCTCGAACTTTCACGGTATCATAAGACCGTCTTCTAAAGTCTCCGCCTCACACATCGCATCTGATGTAGCGGAAGATCCTCCGGCAACATCTTGCAGATCGTCAGGTAGCTCAAGGCTCAGAAGCCCTGCCACCGTTACTACTTGAGTCGCAAAGCGGAGAGATTGTCGATCCAAAGGTTTGAGAATTCGGCGGACCTTTTCCCACCCTAGCGGAAACTGCCGCACCGCCTGTGCGTATCTATGCAAGGCTTTCAATTCAATGTAACCAAAACCCCCGAAGGCGAGATCGCACAATACCCGATCCTCCTCAGCCTCGTTATCGTAGCTGTATGCAAATCCAAGCACGTGATAGTAATCCCTTCATACCTAGAACAACGGATTAAAGGACAGAAATCATACCAGCTAGGAGAGTGGAGTCTAACATGGCGAGTTGTCCAAATCATGCACATAGTTATCAGACCTGTCTTCAACGGCAGGCTCTCGTTTGCATTGATGGGCTCTGTTAGTCATATTCCAATTCCATGGCCCTTCGCGTATGCCGACAACAGCATCGCCTGGTCCTGTCTATCTAGCGCGGACCGCTGCCGAGGAAATGTCGCAGGGCGTCGACATGCCATTGAAACTGGCTTGGGCGAGATTGGCGAGAACAGCAATGGTAGCAATGATAGTGGCGGTGGGATCAAAGAGGAGTAGAATGCCAGGACCAAGAGTTTTCCCAGAGTGCTGAGGAATTTTCGAAAGTACAGGGATGTAAAGCTAAAATATTTTGTGAAAAGTTGACGACATGACCCAATGTATTCTCTCTTCATATGAACGCGAAGGAGACTTTTGGAGGCACTTGTCTCACACTACTTCGGGGGAGGCATTTTCAATGTTGGCACAACGTAAGAGTGGCAATTCAGATGTGTTTCTATGAGCTGCATGAATGGATGGTCTAATTACCATCTATGCACGGCACATTCTCCCATCTGCATTGACTGTCCATGCCTCACTACCAACACCCTTGAGAACATAGAAAAGCGATGCAGGATCCCACTTGGTCTTAATAGCCAGTAGCGCGGCGTAATTGCTACCGAAGAACGTCTGCTGCCAGTTCGGCTGATTGAAGTCGGCTTCGTTAACATAAGCGCCACTCCCCGGAGTCACAGCCGTTATCTGCGGGACAAATTCGTTAGTCATTCGCTTCTGCGCTGCAAGCATTGCTCCCCACGCATCAGCCGACGAGTTCCACGGAGTCGTCAGTTGCATGTGGACTGTCGTATTGCGCCAAGCAGGGTTCGCAGCATTGAAAGCATTCTTGGGGCCGACATATGATGCCGAGCTGCCCACAGCCAATACCCCATTGGCGGTGAGGTTCTGCAGCACCGTCTGAAAGGCGTCGTTGTTCGTTTCGAGAACGCTGCGGGGAATCATGCGGCTGCCAAATTGGTACTCCTCAACTGCAACGTGGCCATATGGCAGAGGTCCCATGTATATGTTATAATGGTCGCGGTAAGATAGCTCTGTGTAACTGATGGATGCCGGAATGTCCAGCTCGGTGAGCTTGGCGGTAAACGGGGCCAAAACAGTATTTTTGACATAGGCCGCAGTAGAGTTGTAGACGGTGATAGGGTTTATGACGAATACGGCGTTGTTGACGTAGTATACAACCATCGCATCCTGATCTGTCATGTTGGGCAAAAGGGAGTGAAACGTTGCGACAGCTTCGTTGAACTTGTCCTGTGTCGTGTAGGCCGCGGCCATCTGAAGGCTGGCGCCACCGATGGTAGATTCCGGGTACGTGCGAACGGTCAAAGAGAGAACAACACCATATGTGCCGCCGCCACCTCCACTTAGCGCCCAATACAAGTCGCTATTGTTGGTACGAGAGGCCTTGACGATCTGGCCAGTGGCAGTGACAACCTCGAACTCAAGAGTCTGATCAGCGCCGAGTCCAAATGTGCTGCTTAGAGCGGAATGGCCACCACCCTGAGTGTAGCCCCCCGCCACTCCGACGGTAGGACACTCGCCGGTGACAACCACTTGGTTTTGAGCGTGCGCCGCCTCCAATACTTCGTATCCAAGAACGCCAGCACCAACTTTAACAGCAGGGCCGGTATAGTCGGGGTCAGTCCAGTTCATGAAATCGATACTCTTCAGATTGTGTGTCCAGATAGCCAGTGCACCGGCGCCAGTGGACCGGCCAAGGAAGCTACCCAATGAGTTTCAGCTATAGCCAAAGACAATAATCAAGATCTGTAATTATGCACTTACTCATGGCCGGTGTTGCGAACGACGACACGGATGTTGTTGGTCCTAGCAAAGGCCAAGGCTTTGGTGATATGGGCTGCACATGAAACGTTCACCGCATATGAGACATAATTGCCCAAAACACAGGGCTGTGATTGAGGAGTGAAAGGATCGCAGCTCTGATTAGCAAAGTACGCCTGCATTACGGACGAAGTTGATGGGAAACTGCAATGCCATAACTGTTTAGCAAAGTGCGTTGCTCGCGAGGAACGATGCTATTTCCGAGATCAAGTCTTACTGAATTTGTGGAAGAGTCCAAGACGACTGCAATTCCTGACAGGCGGTCTCATTGTAGTTGGGATCATGGCAAGGTGAGCCAATGGGAACTGTTGCAATGAGGGATCCACCAACAGATGCATTGAAAGCACTCCAAGTCGAGACGGATGGCCAGCAACTATCGCCGGGGATACAACGGCATTGTGCCGATGCTGAGGCCGATGTTACGGATTGCAGTCCGAATGCCAAGATCGCGATGACCGATAAGAGCTTCATGACTGGTTGTAAGAGCTCCGCATGAGTAAGCCTAGACCAGGAAGCTGCAACAAGATGGAGTACGGAAAAAAAGCCAGTCCATGGCTTTCACTTGAATATATCATCTTCCTTAGACGCAGCTCTCAGGCATAGCGTCAGTCTTGCAATTCCATAGCAATAGAAAGAAAGGGGCCCCTTAACGGACGTTATCCATCAATATCGGAGATGGATTCCTCGTCTCGGCTTGTCGTCCGCGACAGTATTCACCTCTTAAATGATCCGAACGGTAACCCTGGCTGTCGCATAAAAGCACGTGTCAGTCAGTGATGCTACATAGTTAGCGCAATCGATCAGGGGTAAGGACCGTAAGGTTTATGCTTGCACAAATGTGGCTGTGGCAGACGTTCAATTTCGCATC